CAGTCACATGTCCAATGTCCTTGACCTCATTTTCATGGTTCAGTGACTACTTGAAAAAAAAGTTAAGATTTTTTGTAATGTTAAATTCTCTCTTATTATAAGTAATAGGATAACTATATTTGGTATGTGCGTACCTTGCAAGGTCCTCATGCCCGTCAGACAGTTTTCACTTGACCTCGACCTCATTTCATGGATCAGTGAACAAGGTTAAGTTTTGGTGGTTGTCCATATCTCAGATACTATAAGCAATAGGTCTAGTATATTCGGTGTATGGAAGGACTGTAAGGTGTACATGTCCAACTGGCAGGTGTCATCTGACCTTGACCTCATTTTCATGGTTCAGTGGTCAAAGTTAAGTTTTTGAGCCTTGGTCTTTTTTTCTAATACTATATTCAATAGTTCAACTATATTTGGTGTATGGAAATATTTTATGATCTATATGTCAGTCACGCAGGTTTTATTTGACCTTGACCTCATTTTCAAGGTTCATTGCTCAGTGTTAATTTTTTGTGTTTTGGTCTGTTTTTCTTCAACTATAAGCAATAGGTCAACATTTGTACATGCCTGCCTAGCATGGTTCATCTGACCTTGACCTAATTTTCATGGTTCATTGGTCAATGTTTAGTTTACTTGGTTAATGTTAAGTTTATGTGAGTTGTAATAAAGCTTAATTTATATTTAGGACTATTAACATAATATCAATGATAAGTAAAGAAGGCGAGACATTTCAGCATGTGCACTCTTGTGACAACTACATTTGGTATATATATAGATTAATTGCAAGGTATACTTGTTCGGATGCAGATCCAGGATTTTGATCAAGATGTGACCTCCAAACTAGGCAGTATAATTTAGTAGTGGAACATATAAAAAGTATAATGTAATATGCACTTACCATATATATAGCTCCATAAGGGGGACCTGGACCCATGGTCCACCTCCTAAATCTGCCTCTGGTGGTATCAATTCATGTGATTCAGTGATTTATGTTTAGTTTGGGGATTAGGTATAATTAAGTTTTTCCCAGGCTTATTTATAAAGTAATTCCTCAACTATATTCCATGGACAAAATGATTGTAAGGTGTCTGTCTGACCATGACCTAATTTTCATGGAATTTTTGGTCAACATTTAGTTTTTGTGACCCAGTAATATGAATAATAGGTCAACTTTATTTGGTGTAAGGATGATTTTAAAGTGGATATGTTTGTCTGATGAAGTAGACCTGACCTTATTTTCATGTTTTTTTGTCAGCATTAAATTTTCATAATGTCCCAACTATGTGAGTGTATTGAATGATTGTAATTGTGCATTTCCATCTTACAGGGTTTATTTGAAGTTAACATTATTTTCATAGATCATTGATAATGTTTTTTCCTGAAATACCTGTATTAAAACCTTGGTCTTAAGGTAGCTCACCAGGGGTGTCTAAATGTTGAAGATAGATTTTTCTTATGTAAAAGACTTCTGGGTGAATTTACTTTCCAATTTCAATGTAAAAACTGGGGGTACCAGAATTTGTTTTTTCGTTAAAATACATTGAAATTAATAAAATCACTTATTTAATATGGGTTGTATTTGGGAATTTTATTATTTTCCTTATTGAATTATCAAATAAAAATTAATAGGAGTCACAGGCCTTATTTTCTTGAAATATCCAAAAAACACAAATTGTCCTATCAAATTCAAAATTATTATCTGCCCTTGATTTTAAAAAGATTTTTTCTGAAAAATTTAAATACACTTAACGAAACTTAATTTTTTAATAGTTTAATCTTTCAATTTCAGATTTAGGTGTTTCTGACCCTCAATGTTCTATTTTTAACATAAATAATAATACATGTTAAAAGAAATTAACAACATGGGGAATGAGGAACCTCGCTGGATTGTTAACTTTTTATCATCACTGACAAAAATAAATCTTATCACATATTTTTATCTTTAAACAAGAGGACACTTATAAACTTATTAATTTTAAGTTTTATCCATTTTTGAATTTTAAAATCTAATGTTTTAAGCACATGGCAGTTAGTCCAAATAATTATGACGTCTTGAAAATAATTATTTGGACTAATATATATATATATATATAATGATGTGTTGGACAGTCTGTTGTATGAAAATGTCAATTTAATATTGTAATTAAATTATACATGTATTAGATTATTATGTTATTAAACATTGTTTACAAGAAAAAAAGAACAAGTTACTACGAGCAACCAAATTTACCTATATTAGAGTTTTGTCTTATTTATACTTAAGGAATTTAATCCAAATAATTATGATGTCTTGAAAGCGGCTATTTTAATTTTTTACTGTGATGTCTATAATTAAGCCTATATATAGATAATTTCTTTAAAGAAAGGCTTTTTAATTTTTTTTCGGACACGCCTACCCACGACAAAAAGATGTCACAGAAAAAAAAAATAAAATAGCCTTTCAAGACACTTACTTAATGATACTTAATGATGTTTTCTAGTACAGGATCCTCACGGTTACTGTTCACCAGACTCATATATTGAATTCTTATCTCTATTATTTCTGTTGCTGCTTCAGTTATTTCAGCTTGATAAACAGAATAATAGATTTCTTCGTATTCCCAGTAATTATCTAATCTATTTTTAAACGAATTTATAGATGGAGCTTTTGTTATTTTATCTGGTAGTTTATTCCATAATTTGGCAATTCTTACTACAAAGCTATTTTTCCTCAGACATGTTTTAAGGCGTTGGTGAATAACTTTGTTACTATTAACTCTTAATTTTTTGTGCTATGCCTATTTTCGGTGTTTGAAATTAGTTTGAGAAACGTACTAGTTTCTGGATCATATTTTCCGTTTTAAGTATCTTATATGTCTCAATCATGTCCCCTCTAACCCTTCTATATGACAATGTTGGCAGCTTAAGTTTTTTCAATCTTTCCGGATAACTTAATTTGTTGAATCCAGGTATCTGGCGTGTCGCCCTTTTTGGTACATTTTCGATTTTGTCAATGAATTTCTTTTTGAAAGGTGCCCATACTGAACTAGCATAGTCTAAGTGTGTTCTCACCAATGTTTTACATCAATGTTTTGTATAGTGGTATGAAAATCTTTGCATTTAAATTTTTAAATGTTCTAATTGCCGCAAAGATTGAGTTAGCTTAATTTGTTCACTTTTTCAAATGTGTTTTTCAAAGGTTAAATCTTCGTCTATAACTTAACTCCAATATCCTTCTCTTCACTGCATTTGATAATATCATGACCTAATAGATTGTAAGTTGTGCTGTCATCTCTTACCCCTCTGCTTATATTTACATGTTTACATTTTTATGGGTGGAATTTCAAGAGCCATGTATCACTCCTGGCCATTGTTCTAAATTTTTTAAGTCGTTTTGCAGTATAACTTGGTCTGCTTTGTTTTCAATGATTCTAAAGATTTTGGTGTCGTCCGCAAATAAGTAGGCATCCTATGTGACGCAATGTGGCAAGTCCTTTATGTATAGAACAAATAACAGGGGGCCTAGTACTGAGCCTTGAGGTATTCCAGATGTTACATCTTTCCACTCTGATGTTTCCCCATTCACTGAAACTCTTTGTTTTCTATATGACAGAAAATCTGTTATCCAGTCTAGGATTGGATTTATTATCCCAAATTTCTCCGAGTGAATTTTCTTTATGAGTCGCCTGTGTGGTACTTTATCAAAGGCTTTCATGAAATCGATGTATATATGCAATCAACCTCATGGCCATTATCTATATAGCTTCTGTCCATTTATATATTACCTCTAGTAGTTGTAGTGTTGTTGATCTTCCAGAAATAAAACCGTATTGTTTATTTGAAAATAATTTATTTTCTTTCATATAGCTTATAATATGTTCTCTTATAATTTTCTCCATAATTTTGCAAACCACTGATGTAAGTCTTACTGGTCTGTAGTTTTTTGCTAGTGATTTATTCCCTTTTTTGAAGATTGCACTCACTAGGGCGTTTTTCCAATCCTTTGGGACTACTTTTTGGGTTAATGATTGGCTAAAAATGATGCCTAGTTGTTCAGCTATACCTTCCTTGACTTCAAACACTAAACAGTCTGGGGTGTAGGTTATCAGGGCCTGGAGATTTATCTGTTTTTATTTTCTGAAAGTGCTTCAATACTAAATCAGTGCCAATATTTAATTCCTGTATATTTTTTTGTATTGTGATATTTTAGGTTCTGGGATATTGCCTTGGGGTTCATTTGTAAATATACACTAGTAAAATACTCTGATAATATTTCAGCTTTTTGTTTGTTATCATCCATTTTTTCAGATTTTACATCTTCCGAGTCAACATGTAGGTCACCTATACCTTCTCTTGTCTTGGTTACTCCATATGGCCTTAGGATTTGTCTTGGCATTATCAGATAATCCTTTTTTCAAATAATTTCTTTTGTTTATTGACTGATGTTTTGGCCTGATTTCTGACTTTGTTGTATTCAGCTCTTGTTTCTGGATCTTGTTTCATTATGATTTTTTTTTTAGATAAAATGTTTTTCCTTCTAATCAGCACTCTCATTCTTTGTCTATTGGGAATACATTTTTCTGTGTCATTGTTTTAGTTGGTACAAATCTGTGTTCTAATTCTTTTAAAATGGTTAAAAAATAATTCCAATTATTATCAAAGGAAATTTCAGCATTGAGTTTATCATACCAGTCTATTTTATTTAGCTCTTGTATAAAATCTTTGTAATTTCCATGATTATACACTGGGACTAGCTATTATATACTATAGTATAACAGTCCCAGTTATACAGTTTAGCTATTCTTATAAGACGTTATAATTATTTGGACTCTAAGGAATTTAGTAAAGAAATGCTTTTAATTCGGAAGACTGCGCGCTGCATGGCGAGGGAGTATTGAACCAATCGCCTGTGGTTTTCATTGGTGAAACAGATTATTGAAGTCTAAACGATTTGCCTGACGGAATAATTTCTGTCGGTACCGAGGATGATTTGTGTTTTATTATATTCAATATGGCTGCGCCCATGTAATTTCGCAAAAACAGAAAAGAAGTCAAATGAACATATATATGATCAAGACAATGGAATCTTTCATTATAGGGTAGAACAGCGTAACCGAAAAAGAAGAACTAGTTAAAAAATATACAAAATACTGTATAATGTTTAACACCAAGACCTTTACTCTGGTTTCTGAAAAAAATACAGACGGCACAAAATATGGCTTCATCAGTTCTCTTACCGTGTGGATAAACAAACCGCACGTTGTGAATCGTCGGCTCTGTGGAGCAAAAATTGATTACTTTGCTTTTATTGAGGATCTGCAGTTACAAACAAAGTTAACAGAACTTACCATTCCTGATACTGATAATCTTGAAAGTAATGGATATAGAGAACATGATTTGCTTGAAATTGATAATTTGCAAGGAATCACAGAAAATGAAGTGGCAGTTATCTCTAGAAAGCTGATTCTTAAATCTGCAAAGGACATGAGTCATGGTCCACAATCTGAAATAATTGTTGTTGAAAGTATGTGTTAATCATGTATATATATATATCATCAGTTGTTCGACCTGTTAGTCAAATGCGTTTTGTTAAATAGACTTTTTCACTTTTTTTGTTTTTTGGAAATTGTTGTTTGTGCTGTATTTAGACCCCTCTACCAAGAAATTTGTTTTACATGCACACGTATAAAAATTGCGGTTTTTAACTAACGCAATCATAGGTTTGAATGTTGTTTTCAATTTAGACTTTTATATATATATATATATATTTAAGAACATCTGTTGTTCGACCTGTTAGTCAAATGCGTTTTGTTAAAATATACTTTTTTGGTCTTTTGGAAAATGTTGTTTGTGCTGTATTTAGACCCCTCTATCAAGAAATTTGTTTTGCATGCACACGTATAGAAATTGCAGTTTTTATCCAACGCAATCATAGGTTTGAACGTTGTTTTCAATTTAGATTTGTATATATGTATATATATATATATATACAATTCAGTCTGGTAACTCCGCCCACATAAGACTTTGTATGTATTTCTGCTTAATTATATACATATGGCAATATACAAATTGTATCAGATTTAATATAAATCGATTCATTGACAACTCAATTTTGAGTAGTTTGTCTCATTTCCCATAAAATATCTGAAATAAATTTTAAAATCAACAAAACAAGTGGGTCACCTGTGTTTTTATCGGAAATGTGTTTGTCCAGTAAATCTGCCCATGCGCAGTTAATATATATGAAAGGCCAGTTTATCACATAATTATGACAGGAAAATGGTGATTTATTAATAGACCACTAAAAAAGGGATTCCAGACAATCGAAAAAAGAAAATTTAAGTCAGAAATGACTTTTGAAAGCAATAATATGATTATCGTTAGCTTTACAAACTGTATTATATACATTACTCAATATTTTCATAATAAAGGCTTTTTCTTTAACAGTTGACATGCAGTGAGGATAAGTACATTTCCTACAATGTATGCATAAAATAGCAGACAAAATATTCACTGAAGTGACAATATGGATTATTACTTAAGTAAATGGGAGTTGATAGGTTTACCCGATGGGCGGAATTACCGGACACTTAACTGTGTTAATTTTTAAAAGTTTTAACTAATTTTTAAACTTCAAACTTCTATATTTTCTGCCTTGATCTACTAGTCAGAGGGGGTCACCACATCAAATTAAAAACATCTGATTCCGTCATTCCCATGGAGCATCATTCCTCTGTGGGAATCGGATCCAGATTTTATTTTTTTCATTAATTTCTCCTCGGGATTCAAATCCTTCAGCGGTTTTGGATTGGGATACCTGGTGTGTATCAAATAATATTGAGAGTTTGTATGACTGAAATTATCTCCATGTTCTGAGTTACTAATGTAAAAACACTTTTCCTACAAAAATAAGGAGACGTCGTGTGATTGCCAATGAGACAACTTCAAGTAGAGACTAACTCACATGAATGTAAGCAATTACACAATGTATATGCCCCTGTACAGCCTTCACAATATGCCCTGATTCACTATAAAACAAAAAATCAACCAACCAATATTTGAAAAAGCCAAATCAATACATGTGTTTACCTTACATGTATTTGATTGAGAATGTGGCATAAATAAATGAATGTGCATAAATTGTTTGTCATGGTTATATAATTACATTTGTAGACAAGGAAAACTGTGTTATAGCATCATTTTATAAGATATCAAGAGCAGATTCCAAGTTGGACATCCCAGAACCCTCATCTTATCAGTTGGTGTTTATAAAAGGATCTGATGAAAGTAACAAGTATGTTTTAAATTGTCATATGAATCTATATTTCTTAATTTATACATGTTTAAATAGGCTGGTTTTTATTAGCTGGGGAAAAAGGAACAATTTTGGACAAAAACAGTTTTTTTTAATTCATCATAACCAAGAAATAGCAAAATGAATAGTATACTATGTTATGTATGTGTAAATGAATTATTATATACTATACAATGTTCTTTAAATTAAAGGAAAATAATATTACTGTAAATTCAGAAATTATTGCAATAGATTTGTATTTTTATTAATGCAAAAAATGTGACAGTATCCAGTTTGCAATAAAAAAAACTCACATTCATATTTTCGGTAGCGATTTTTCCTTATAAAATATTTATAACATAAAAAATGAAATGGCAGCTAACAAAGGCCCCAGATGACAAATGTAAAACAATTCAAACAAGAAAACTAACGGCCTGATTTATGTACAAAACAACGAACAAAAAACAAAAATGATATACATCAACAAACGGCAACCACTGAAATACAGGCTCCTGACTTGGGACAGACACATACATAGTGTGGCGGGGTTAAACAAGATAGGTTTATGGGGAACAACTAATGGTAATTCAATGATAATTGTATAAGTATTGGTAAAGCTTACCTCAAGTTGATTTGTCTATTCTTTGTATGTCATTTTTGGTCATAAGCAGCTCACATATCCATGTAGATAACAATCATTGGCTTTTAAGTGTTTGGGTTTGAGCATTTCTGGTATAAAAATGTTATATTTCATTGCATGGAGACACAAGTATAAGACACCACAACAATGCTACCAAGAACTATACACAGGAAACATGTATGTATCCCACATTCCTCAGACTTAAAATTTATACTGCACTTTCAGAGAAGTTACTGACAGTTATACAACTAAAAAAATTCACCTTAGAGAACAAAGACAACTTCTTTTACTGAGTTTATTAAATAGTCCATTATAATTAAAAAAAAAAACCCTACCTACAAACCCAATTTTTTTTATGGCACTCGGGCAATGGCAAACCAACATTTTTTTAAATATGGCCTATTAAGTGATTCAGAAAAGTGCTTTGATAGAACTGAAATCATAAGGTGCTATTCTCATTTTCAGAATTCAGCTAAAGAAATTACAAGACTCAGAAGAAGTAAGCAGTGATGACTTTGGAACTTTTGAATGGATGACCAACACTCTACTTCCTAAACTCTGTAACTGGAGTGCTGAATCTAAACTGAAGACATCAGTTACCTCCCTTAGATTGATACCTATTGAAGAATATAGCCAGAAATATCAATATTTGAAGGAAAAATATGGAAAATATTTTGTACAGGTAGATATACAATTACTTTGTATAGCTTTGCCAAAATATATATGAACTGTATATTGATACATGTTATAAGATAAATAGGAAAATACATCCTGTTGTCCATAATAAAAAAAAATTCCAGCAGGTAAACTCAGAACAATTAAGAAGAGCTTGTCATATTTTAATGGACACCTGTCTATTATCAAGGCTGAATGTTTCCCTCTTGACATATTTTCCTGTCGAAGGTTGTGGTTCTAGCTTCCTCCACCAATAAAAACTGACTTGATCGTTATATAAAAATAAGGAGATATGTCTACTTCAAATTCTGTTGAGAACTTTGATGTGAATTTAAAGCTTTCCAGAAAAACACATAAAAATTAATCATGTTAGTTGAAATTATTGAGTTTCTGTTTTGTTTCAGAACTGGCCAGAAAGTACAGATCCTCAGAAGTTTGTCTATGAAGATATTGCCATTGCTTCATATTTACTTGTAAGTAAGGTGAATAAACATAGAGCAATCAACTATTTATTCATAAGGTGAATGCTTAACTTAACTATAATCAGTCATCCTACATTTTTGTAATTTTGCACTTGGGCACTATGTGTACTATTTTCATTGTATAAATTTGATGAAATGTAAATAAGAACCAGTTTAATTATTGTGGTGCTTGTCAGGCGAAAGATCTGTGGCGACACAAAGTGATCACTTCTGTTATCTTGTATCTGCTTTGACCACATCACAAATCATTAATCTTCAAATCCTTGAAACAGAAGTCAACCAAATTTGCATAGATTCTTCGTCATGAAGTTACATGTATGTGCCTGCTATGTTGATGCATGGGGTTTCAAATACTAAAACATGGTCTTGGCTATGTCTGCTTATATTATTAAGAAATGCAGACAAAACACCTTCATCCTTGGAAGACTAGTACTTTATCTTATTGGCTTACTCTGAAATTTAACACCTGTCTGTATAAATTGCAGTGTCTTATCAGCATACTTGAAAATGGCATCTGGACCAATCTGTAACCTAAAAAAAAGTACCCCTAGTGGAAAACCGTTCCTGAGTTTGTCCATTAAGATTTGATGAAAAAATGCATATTTGAAATTTGTAAATATCAAAAACTGTGAGGGGAGAACAAAAATGACATACAGAGAGACATTTTAAACATTACGTAAATTCTTATATCTTTTAACCTTTCATACAGGGAGTATAAGTAACACCCTGTACAAACCCAGACAGGGATCTGGAAACATACGAATTTCCTGTCCCTGTTGTATATTAATATTGGATAAAAACGATACATGTATAAAATCATTTTAATTTTAATTTAAATTTTCAAATGTTCATATAAGTTCAGGTATGAAGTCTTAAAAATGAATTTATCATTTATTATTTGGTAATTTTTTTAAGTTTTGGATGTGTTTTTCCATCAGCAGTATTAGTTTCTGTATTTATTGCTATGAAAGAGCAGGCTTTCAAGGAATCCTTTCCATTATTTTGTTTTGAGTTACATGTTCCTTAGCACCTTCCTATTTAAATCGTAAGCCATTAAAAAAAACAATGATAACATTGTAATTGTTTGTCGTGCATTTAGATTTTATGGAAGAAAGAAAGAGAGAAGAAGAAGTTAGAATGTTTACAATCATTTGTAGATCTAGGTTGTGGTAATGGATTACTGGTACATTTACTGGCTTCTGAAGGTGTAAGTGACATAGTCATTATAAAATGTAGACAAGGGTTTTAACTCATATACTATATAGTCAGATTAATAGTTTATTTGCAAATTCAGTAATTTACTTTGTAATTAGAAATCTTTTTGTAAAAGAGAGGCAAAAGATACCAAAGGGACATTCAAACTCAAGTCGAAAATAAAATGACAAACGCCATTGCTAAAAAGAAAAAGACCAACAGACAAACAATAGTACAAAAACACATAGAAAACTAAAGACTGAGCAACACAAACCCCACCAAAAACTGGGGTGATCTCAGGTGCCCCGGAAGGGTAAGCAGATCCTGCTCCACATATGGCACTCGTTGTGTTGCTAATGTTAGTACAAATCCGGTAATAAGTCTCAATTCGGTAGGTCATGGTAGGTAAGAGTTGTTTTCCTTTTGATGGAAATACATTTTTAATTTGCCAATGAAGAGCACATTTATCTCTGTGCAGTGTGTGTAATCTGTAAGTTTTCAAATCTTTTGATTACATTTAATCTTAACTTTCGATATCATTGTTATTTTTAAATAAAAATTGGTTTCAACATATATATATCATTATCAACCTAATCATACATCTTGGGTTTTTTTTTTGGTATTGTTAACATATATACAGATGATATTTCTTAAAACAATATTTGGAGCTGGCATGTCATTAACTGCTAGTAATCCTTTGTTAATCTATGTATCATTGTCATTTTGCTTAGTTTCTTTTGTTACCTATTCTGACATGGGACTCTGACTTCTTTTAAGCTGACTTTTCCTGTGCGTATTGCTGTGTGTTTCTTTATTCTACATTGGCTAGAGGTATAGGGGGAGGGTTGAGATCTCACAAAACATGTTTAACCCCGCCTCATTTTTGCGCCTGTCCCAAGTCAGGAGCCTCAGGCCTTTGTTAGTCTTGTATGTGTTTTATTTTAGTTCATTTATATGTTTTGGAGTTTAGTATGACATCCATTTTCACTTAACTAGTACACATTTTTATTTAGGGGCCAGCTGAGGCCTGCCTCCGGGTGTGGGATTTTCTTGCTGCGTTGAAGACCTGTTGGTGGCCTTCGGCTCTTTGGTCAGGTTGTTTTCTCTTTGACATATTCCCCATTTCCATTCTCAATTTTATTCAATGTCAGTTTTTGCCTCTAATTTAAAAGAAAGTTTTTATGATTTCTATTTCAGCATGCAGGCATAGGACTGGATATAAGAAAACGGAAGATTTGGAACATGTATGGAAAGGAGACAGTATTAAAGGTAAGTTCATATTTCAAAGTTCTCCTCATTAATTATCTTTTACATCATTATTGTGATGCTAAAAGGCTCTGGCGGAGAACACTGCATATTTAGTTAATGTTATTAAACTAACCCTGGACACTGAATCTTTTTGGTAGTATTTTCAGTTTCCATAAGCAGTCCCAAATGTTTGTCATTCAGTAAATATTGGATTTTTGATCAGACAAAGCATTTTAGAATCTCTTTTGAATCATATCTGTTAGAGTCTTATGAAAAACCCCATTCAGGTCCGGCATAATGACATCTTGTTTTTTTAAAAGGAGGTCACTGTAACACCCTCTGCAGAAAATACATTCCCAGAGTACGATTGGCTGATTGGTAACCATAGTGATGAGTTGACACCATGGATTCCTGTAATAGCAGCAAGGTACTTGATGAAAGAATAATATTTTCCTAACAATAAAATCATGTATTACAACTGTGTACTTCCATCTGATTATGGTTTCTCCTTAACTGAAAATTGAGACATGGAAAAAAATCTTAAATTTTTGAAGCTTTCTTTACCAGTCAAGGGTATAACTCTATAGGGTTATTAGAGAAAAATAACATACATTTGTTGTTGTGGACTAAAAAATCCAAAAACTGATAGCATATGTATGTTATATGTTTCAAAGGGGAAATATACATCCTTTGTTTTGTTAAAATGTATACAAGTTCTATTGATATTATTATTGTCTTTATGTATACCCCAGTAAATACATACTAAACTATAGAACGATATAACAGTTCATAGTTTGCCAATAATGCATAGTACACCTATGTTATTACAGAAAAAATATGCCTGTAATAACTAAAGGGTGTTATTACAGCTTCGCTACATCACTTCAAAGCCTTAGCTCAGACATATATCATGCTTAATCACATATGTATTTTAATTTATTGTAAGAAATAATGATCAGAGCATGTAATGAGGTTCTGTGCAAGCTTCCAAGTAATTCTCAAGTGTATCATATAATAAGTTACATGCCTGTAATAACTAAGCCTTGTTATTACAGCTAAGTTTATCCATTAAAAGCCTTGTCTCATTGATTTACCATGGTTGATAAAAAATGTGTTAATTTAATTGGAAAATTAGTTATCAAGGCTATGTATTAAGTTACTGTGCAAAGTTTCAAGAATTCCCAAGTGCCCACTAAAAATTAGAATATTTATGATTTATTCGACAAATAATAAAAACATGTTACTACAGATTAAGAAAATTTAAGGAGTAAAGAGTAGACAACTCATGAAAGTATATTTAATAACACATATATGATGTTTTCTCTAATAACCCTATAGAGTTATACCCTTGACTGTTTACACTGAAAAATAACAAATCACTCCATTTATTTGATTTAGTTGACATAGAAAATATAGATAACAAGTAATCTTGTCAAAGATATCCTTTATTGTTTGAATCATGATTCCATATACATGTAGAAAATTACAGAATCTCATGTAGATAAAAAAAACTTTAAAAGTTAAGTACATGTATGTATGTACAAGTATATTTACCACCATTAATGTAACTATTCTAAACTTAAGTTTTTCTTTTTTAAATTCAAATTCTGAACAAATAGATATGGGGAAATTGTTATTGTGAAATAACTCATGAACAATCAGTTAGCAGAAGTTAATAATAAGAGATCTAGTTACTGAACATTCAACTATGAACAGATCCCATACAATGAGCTCAAAATGTACAAAAAAGTTAATTATAGGTTTTGTAAAAAGTGAGAATTGGACATCATCTTATGTTATTTTATTTAAATATAATAATAAATGAGCCTTTGGTCAGTTTATAATTAATATTGAAATTTTAAAATAGTGAGCGTTGATATTAAGAGACCCAATTCCTAAGAGTTATTAAACCTATTTCTCATAAGGTAAAAATTATCTATGTGTGGCACATTTTGCTGTTGAACCTCATTAGCTGAGGTGCTGACTAACACAAGAAAGACTTCTGCTGGGAGAATAAGATGTTTTGTCGATTATTTCTTCCTTTGTACCATAACATAATTTGCATAAGATTTAAAAATAAACACTTTATACATTTTAGATCAAGTTACACATGTAGATATTTTGTGTTACCTTGCTGTCATTATGACTTTGATTGTAAGTTCAGCGGTAAACAGCAAGGACTAAGTAATTACAGAACATATTTAAATTTTGTGAAGGAGGTCGGAGAGGTTTGTGGATTTAATGTGGAGGAGGATACTCTGAGGATTCCATCCACTAAGCGAGTAAGTCTGATATAACTCTGTCATAAATTCCACATGTTCACTTCCATCCATCTGAATTTATTACCATTAATTTCGTGTTGCTGGCTTTGATAATAACTACTGTATATGACCTTGGAATTGCATCATTGATGATACATGTGTGGCAGGAGATATAACCCTGTTGATGCACCTGGACCTCTATTTAAGTTTTAATGAAATATTCAAGAGTATTTCTTCTTGTCAGATTTTTTTTGTGAAATGGGTTTCACTGACATACAGAAAAGTGTTGGTCTTCAACTTGAATCTTTCATCAAATGTGTTTTTTGGGTAAAGATTGCATGAAATGCAATGAAAACCCTATGGTTGTTGAGAATACCGCGGGAGTTAAGACGTCGCGTTTTACCAATTGTTTCTAGGGTTGACGTCAATGCGGGACGTAGCCTTAGCAGCTCGGATATATATGAAGTAAACGTTAAACTGTATGGTTGTGTTCTTTCTATAAAACGATTATCATAGTTGAGTTAGCCCCGACATTTATGGTGCCATAACCAAAGGATAACATCGAAGATGGAGAAGTTAAAGAATATAAGTACTGGAAATAGAAGTGCAGTGACGAGACTTTTCTGAAAATTTGAGGAGTTGAAGGAAAACACGGACTTTGACAGAGATGAACTACTTGCAACATACGATAATCTTACGCAAAAGAAGAAATTGTTGGAAAAACTGAACGAACAGATATTGGAAGCAACGGATTCAGACAACGTTGAAAGTGAAATAGTAGATACAGATGAGTATTCAAATAATTTAGATACTAAACTTAGACATTTTCGTAATTTCATACAAATTGGTCAAAATCGTACACCAAGTTCCAATGTAACACAATCTTCATATCAAGTACTCAATGTAGAAAGCCCTTCTTTCCGCCCGGCAAATGTTGATAACTTTCAAAACGCAACACCATTCTATGCTTCATCCGCCGCTCAACCACAGACAAGCTACAATGGCTCTGATACAGGCCATATTGCTCCACAAAATATAGCTAGTACTAGTAACCATTGTTTACCCAAGTTATCACTACCGAAGTTTAATGGCAACATTTTAGATTGGCAAACGTTTTGGGACTTGTACGAATCTGCTGTACATTTCAATCCTACTTTGACAAACATTGAGAAATTTAATTATCTAAAATCGCAACTTGAAAGCGAGGCATTGAATATGATTACAGGATTTGTGCTTACAAACGGAAATTATATGGAGGCTATAAATGTACTCAAGGAACGGTTTGGACAACACACCGAATTACGGAAGCCCACTTACAGGCACTTTTAGATATTACCCAACCACGATACACCTTGTCAAGCTTAAGATTATTTTATGACCGATGAGAAGCCTACGTAAGAGGTTTAGATTCGCACGGACAACCTGAGACGTCATATGGAACTTTACTGGTACCAATTATCATGAGAAAGTTACCCAGTGACACTACTTAGCCAGAGAACACGGACCGTCTAGTTGGAATTTGAAAGATCTGAGAAGGAGCATATTGAATGAAATTCAAATCATGGAGGTAGGACAAAATACAAGTACATATCTCGAGTCTTTAGACCGTCAGTTCGCAACTGCATCTACATGTACATTTCATACAGGAACAGAATCACCGCGAGAAAACACATCACACAACGCGTAGAGCCAACCCCGGAATATTACAGAAAGACCATGTGTTTTTTGTAAAGAGATACATGCACCAGCACACTGTACTAATGTTAGTAATCATAAAGCTCGCATGTCTATCGTAAAACGTGATAATTTATGTTTTAATTGTTTAGGTAATCATCATGCTAATGAGTATCAATCGAAACGAACGCGTCGACACTGCAACCAGAGACATCATTCCAGCCTATGTAGTGCAAGTAGCAATGTTAACAGTGAAGGTTTAGCATTCATTACAAGCAAAACAAATAACCAGATTCAATCTACACCCGTCAATCTTATAAATGACACTGTAAACGAGGAAGATACTAAAGTTTTGCATTCATCGACACAGATGCGTACAAATGTGCTACTGAAAACGGCTGTAGCTCCTGTATGGTCAGGTAATATATGTATGGATACGAATGTTTTATTTGATGAGGGTGCACAAAGATCTTTTTTAACAGATGATCTAGCAAAGAAATTGAATTTGAAAACTGAAGGAGCTGAAGTTGTACACCTATTGGCATTTAGAAAGGACAACACAAGCACGAGAGAACTACGCAAAACCACCGTATTTGTCGAAACCAAAAATAGTCGTAAATTTCCTATTGAAGTCCTTATTGTTCCTACTATAGCAGTTCCAATACATAATCATATGCGGTACGTAAACCAAAATATGGATTATCTCAAAGGATTAAGACTCGCTCATCCAGTTACTCAAGACGATTCTTTTGAAATATCGTTACTTATTGGTGCCGACTACTATTGGAGCTTTATCGAAGACGAAGTAATAAGAGGAGACCGACCAATCGCGGTTAAGTCAAAGCTTGGATACTTACTATCAGGACCCTTACAACCAGGAAGGGTACGTTCGTCTATGACATCCAGCATCTTGAACGTACTGGTTTTGAATAAATCAGAGGAATTTGGCTTAAAAGAAATTATAAAGGAACAGACATGTCGCGGATTTATCGAGAGAGATGAGGAAGCAGAACCGACAGGGAAAATATTAAAAGATGGACTGAATGATACGTATCTAATGAACTGTTGTGACTTATTATGGACTGTTACGAAAATGTTTGATTTATTGACTTACTTTCAAAAACCTATAATATGATACTATTTCATTGAAAGAAGGAACAGGTGCACGGAAAATATAGACATACTGTGATTTGTGTATACGAGATAGACTCATTGTGATTTAATCGAAGATAACTAATCTGGAAGTTTATGACTGTGCTAAAGTTATTCAGTTAAAGTTTTAGATTTGGTAGACAGTAATTTTCATTCATTTTCACTTTATTGTAATTTAATTTTAATATTTACTTTTAGCGGCCCGAAGAATGTTGAGAATACCGCAGAAGTAAAGAAGTCGCGTTTTACCAATTGTATCTAGGGTAGACGTCAATGCGGGACGTAGCCTTAGCAGCTCGGATATATATGAAGTAAACATTAAACTGTATGGTTGTGTTCTTTCTGTAAAACGATTATCATAGTTGAGTTAGCCCCGACAATGGTACTGGCTTGATATCTAAATCTTCCATGGTTTATCACTACCTCTGATAGTTCTAGCAAAATAGTGCAGTGAAGTGATCATTCTTTAGATCCTATCCAGTCAATTTCATGCAATGATATGTTATACTTGAATTACAATACTTGTCAAGAAAACTTTTCTTTATTGAAAATTACATGTAATTCATGGTGTATGAATCTGTTATAAAAATAGACTCAACTACAAATGTACAGTCATGAACAAAGGAAGATAACTCCAGCTCAAATTTATAATTTGCCCGTCTAATTACAATTCAATGTTTTATTTTAAATCCACATAATTGCAAAATGAAAGCAATCTTTATCCCTCAGTGCTCACAAGCACTTTGATTATTTTATGTTGACTGTTTATTGTCACTTGAAGGGAGCCATATATCTTGTATCAGTATATAATAGCCATTAACCTACATGTAGTTCTATCCCATTCTTAGGTAATCATGGTTATAGATTAAAAATATCTGAATTATGTGATTAGAAGAGTTTATTCCATTGCAGGTGTGTTTTATTGGGCAAGACAGAACATATCCTAAGAAAGAAGAATCATTAATTGATGATAAAAGATCTATTTATATCAGGACAAGATCAAGTTCCAATCAGTCATCAAACTCGGAAGCAGAATACGAGCCTAGTGCTAAATACCAAAAACTTGACAATGGACAAAAATGGTCCAAAGAGTTTGAGCCAAGGGACCAGAGTAAAGAAAAGTCACGGAACTGTCAGAATATTGACAAGGATATCAAAAATTTAATAATAAATACTGTATTTAAGAAAGTTTTGGACTGTGATAAATCTGAAGTTAGACATTTATCTGATGGGAGGATATGGCATAAAGGAGGTGAGAAAGCTTTTTCTTTCTTTATAAATAATATAAATTAAATTCAATGGCTCTCCACATGCAATAGGGGAGACAATTATTAACATTTAGCATTATGTCCAATTATATTCATGTTGAATTTCATTAAAGTTTTCAACTTACCATCTCCTAAAAAATCACTAAATTGATTTCAGCCAAACTGATTTGATAAGAGATTTAAAAAATGAATGAAAATTTTGGTAGTAGTCAATTAGGTGATTTCCAATTTTAAATTAGATCAACCCACTCTATTTTTCTATCAAATTTCTAAAGCATAACAAATGATTTATGTAAATTTAAAAGTTGTCCAACCTTGCAAACATTGACAATAAAGGAACACATCTAACACACAGTGCCAGGTCATTTTTGTTTTCTGTAAAATTTTGTTTCAAGATTGTGTAGACTCTTTTTCAGAGGACCAATCAACTGAATCAACTGTTAACTTGTTCTTTCTTGAATGTATTTAACTTTAAATTTATTTAACCAAAAGCAACAATCAAACAAATTGAATTTGTTCTCGTCCTGAATATTTGCCTCTGAATGTGAAGAATCTCATAGAAGATTTATCATACTTCTAAAATTGATTCTAGCATACAATAGGTCTATAATTCATTGTATAAATAAGAAGAGTTTGAGGATAGGGGAAATATTGAGTTATGTTTTTTTAAAAATATCAGGTTGGTCGTATTAATGTGGTTCACAAAAGTTTCTAGTATAAATGTTTTGAATCAATGTAAAAAAAAGAAGACTATCTTCTACCCTTGATATGTTTTCAGATGATGAAAATTAATCATAATCATCTAAATCAGCTATGACTTCATAAGCAAACAACCCACAATAATAACTTTCATTACACATTTCTACTAGCTTTATTTTACAACTAATATTTGTCAATTACACAGAAAAGACTGTCTTCTGAATTCAGTTTTACATATATAAAATAATTAAGACCCAATTTAAGTCTTAATTAGTAATATTTTGGTCTGGAAATTTTGTAATGGATATTTGAATCAGAAATAAAATATATAATAGATGTCAAATAAAAATTTTCAATTATTATACATTTGTACTGTGCAGGTTCCATACCATTAGGAGAAGTTGTCAAGTTATTTGACAAGGATGTATTAAAACAGCTGAAATCTGAATGTGGGGGATTACAGACTTTACTGAAAAATCATAACAGTATATTTCATGGTATTTATATTTTCTTATTTTTCTTATTAAAAAATGAGTTTCAGGGAATACAAATAACCAGATATATTATTGTTGTATTTGAAAATATATCAACCATACTACTTATAAAGGGAGTTATTAGAGGGAATATGTTAATGAGACAACAATGCAAAGAAACCAAAAAAATACAGCTAAAGGTATAAAAAAAAAATATGCATAGAATCATTGTCAGAGGACTTTAATGTTTTGACATGGCACAGGGAATTGAGCAAACCATTAAAAGTTATCATGGCCAATTGATGCTTTCCAAGTTTAAGGTAATCTATTGTGTACATATTTTTTTTGGGAAATATGATATTCATTTTTAAGAGGACTTCACTCTCTGAAACAAAATGTATGAAACTTAAGACTCAAACAAGAAATCATCAGGAAATTACCAAAGTAATCTTGAATTTTATTTGATCATTGTGATGATTGAATGTAATGTTTCAATATATTTAACTTATGTCAGAGAAATACTAGAGAAATTATCTTTAATTCAAGAATAAGTTTCAGGCTTATTTTCAAATTTTTTCTAAACCGACAGCTTTTGGTGCAGAAAATCTTCAAGTTATTTTTATGATTAATCAGTATAATTTATTCCATAAAGTAATAAGCAAGCAGATGTCAATAACTGTTCTCATAACACAAAAATGATGAAACTTCAAATTAAATGACTTTATAGTAAATTGATTATACATTGTATACAATTTAAAGATAAATAAATAAAAAACAAAAAGCCAGAAAAAAATAAATAATAAAAAATTGAAGCTACAAAATATTCATATATGATACCATGGAAGTATTATATGGACTGGAACTCCAATGAAAAATTAGTATATTCCCAACCCCACTGATTTCTTTAGAAAATAAAAGGTTCCGACTCAGTTTGTCAAGTACGTGATAACTCCTATTTTGGATATCTGTGATGCCGCCACATGCTACTCTTGTCGTGGTTTGGATATCGAATGTCTTATCTACCTACCAATGTAAATAAACACGGATGTCCCATGGTTATTTGTAGATCGCTACATGAATGACAACACCTGGTTCCTTTCAATAGTAGATGGTGAAAGCCGAAAAAATCTAAAAAATCAGTCAATATTTAGCAGAATACCACATGAAAATTAATTGCAATTGGGAGGAAGATAAGATTATTTTTATTTTTGTTTAATATGTTTTAATCCTTGGAACTTTTAAATCAGTAAATCTCCGTAATAATTAAATAAATACTTTTTATAAGAAATTTATGATTTTGAAGCCTAGCATGTATATGTGCATGTTTAGCCAGCAGCCCTCTCATGAATAAAAATCTTACCATTAAAATTGATTGTAACTAAAACTGAAATGTTCATTACTTGCGAGAATTTTGGCCTTAAGATTTTTTGTGAAAACAGTCGCAGGGTTTTCTTTTCTTTCTTTTTATTTGTTTTAACGCAGCAAAACCTGTAGAAACTGACACATTTGTCATTTCCCTGACAATTAAGTACACATCCGGTTATTTCGGTATATTCCGTAATTACGATCAATGACGAGGTTCCAAAATGATAGCTGACAGAAAGTCACAGGACAAAAAGTCCCTGGACAGAAGGTCACAAATTTGATAGGATAAAAAGTCCCAGGACAAAAAGTCACAAAGACCATGTTTATAATTGTTTGAATACATAGGAACAAATTCTTAAAATAAATTCTTTTTATTGTCTATATTCATTTTACAGTTATGGAAATTATTCATAAGCTTGATTTATGAAGATTTATCAAATTTTAATCATGCAAAGGACATATTTATTGGCACCAAGTACCAAGCCACTTTTTTCACAGTTTTCTTAACAATTATTTTATCATTGTTGTTATTTTTGGAATACATTTGGTTTCAAAGTTGCCTTATATATAATAGTTCAAGACAAATACAAAAATGTTTTAAAAAATAAATGTTTTCTTATTCAAAGAAAAAATATTCTCAAAACTGAATTGTGACTTTTTGTCCTGTGACTTTTTGTCGGAGAGTTTTTGTCCTGTGACTTTCTGCCTTACATTCCCAAAAGTTTTAATTAAACCCATGCATCGATATGACATGTCGAGTTATTTAACAGATACTTAAAAGATTTTGTGGCATCACACTATAAACGTTTGAAGTCGGTTTGTTGGTGTTCCTGTCAATATTATACTTCCATGATAATACAAAACTGTGGCTAAATGTCCAGGCTGAATATTATATTCATCTATTGGTACAACAGAATAAAAGAAATGTCAAAAAATTCAGTTTTAATTTCACAATCATATATACTTCTTTGTCCTTGTTTTTTTTGCATTGAAAATTAATCATTGAATCCTCTATTTACACCAAAAGATGAATGGATATTGAAAAAAGCACCTTTTGGGGACCTTTTATAGCCTACTATGTGGTATGGGTTTTGCTCATTGTTGAAGGCCATACCTTGATCTATAGTTGTTAACTTCTATGTCATTTGGTCTCTGGTGGAGAGGGGTCTCATAGGCAATCATACCACATTTGTTAATTTTTATGCCCCCGCCGTAGCGGAGGGGGCATTAAGTGTTACCCTTGTTCGTCTGTACGTCCGTACGTCCCAAAGTTGGTTTCCGTTCTCTAACTTCAGTTTGCCTCTACCAAATGTTATGAAACTTATACACAATGCTAATTACCACTTATCAAGTTGATTTTTTGGGGCGTCACTTTAACCGTTCTATAGTTATGCCCCTTTACAAACGAAAAAATTGCTGAATTTTTCGTTTCCGTTCTCTAACTTTAGTTTGCCTCAACCAAATGCTATGAAACTTATACACAATCCTTATTACCACAAAATACAGATCAAGTTTTAATTTTGGGGTTGTCACTAAATTTTCTAGAGTTAGGCCCCTTTACAAATGGAAAAACTGCTGTATTTTTGTTTCTGTTCTCTAAATTAAGTTTGCATCAACCAAATTTTATGAAACTTATACACAATACTTATTACCACAAAACTCAGATCAAGTACAAATTTGGGTAGGGTCACTTTTACTGTTCTTCAGTTATGTCCCTTTATAACTTTATATGATATGCTAGCGGGGCATCATCTGTGTCCCATGGACACATTCCCCATTAAGAATACATCATTATACATTTATATACTTATCATTGATTATTTTATTACAGTATCTGGTGGAAATGTACAGTTAAGAGACTTGAGTCTTAATGAACCATACAGTAAAAAGTCACAGCTGTCAAAGAAAGATAAGAGCCAGTACTTTAAGACTTTACAATGTTGGTTTTATGCAAACCATCCTGATGGATGTCCCAGGACAGAGGTCACATGTACTTTTGCACATGGTGAAAATGACATTAAACAAAGTATCTGTGACAAAACAAAGGCTTTAAAGCCTGATGATTATTCTATTGATAATGGATGAAATGATTGTCTCGCCTTGACGGAGTCAAATAGCGAAACATAGGTATGCTTTTTCTGGCGTCGGCGGCGGCAACGGCGGCGCAGGGTCAACAATGTATTAGTTTGTGATTAGGTCTAGTTCATGGTGAACCACTAGTAGTAGGTCAATGATATTTGGTATGCAGTTGTATTAGCATTGGCACATCTCATTACCATGGAGAATATTTGGCCCCAACCTCTCAGTCAAGGTCTATTGACTTTGAAACTTTGCTTAGTTAACATGTATTAGTTTGTGATTAGGTCTGTTTATGGCGAACCACTAGTGGACGGTCAATGATATTTGGTATGCAGTTGTATTAGCATTGGCACATCTCATTACCATGGAGATTATTTGGCCCCGCCCCCTCAGTCAAGGTCTATTGACTTTGAAAATTTTGCTTAGTTTTCATGTATTAGTTTGTGATTAGGTCAGTTTAAGGGGAACTGTTAGTGGTAGGTCAATGATAACTGGTATGCAGTTGTATAAGCATGAGCACATCTCAATTATATGGAGAATATTTGGTCCTTACCCCTCAGTCATGGTCTATTGACCTTGAAACCTTTGCTTAGTTTACATGTATTAGTTTTTGATTAGGTCAGTTTAAGATGAACCACTAATGTTAAGTCAATGATATTCGGTATGCAAATGTATTGGCATTTGCAAGTTTCATTTCTATGGAGATTATATAACCCCACCCCCTAATTATGGTTCATTGACTTTGAAACTTTTACATAGTTTACAAGTTAATGTTTGTGTTTAGGTTTGTTGAAAGGGAACTACTTATGAAAAGTCAATGGTATTTGGTTTGCAGTTGTATTAGCATTGGCACATCTCATTTTCATGGAGATTGTTTAGCTCTGTACCTTCAGTCATGGTTCATTGACTTTGAATATTTGCATAACTTACATGTTAAAGAATTGCTATTTTAATTTCAACATTTGCATTATCAAAATAACAAATAGGCGAGATATATCTCTGTGTTAACAATTAATTCTTTATAGGATGCAGAAAATAAAAATATAAATATTGTTTTCCTGTTGGTCATTTTATTTTGTAAAATATTCTTTCATTATTTTATATCTCCATTTTTTGTAATAATACAAATAAAGCTTTGCATGATATGCAATATGTCTGCAAAAGGCATTGGAATTGGTCTTCAAAATTCACCAACTTTTTGTAATAATATGGTAATAAATAAAAAGTTTTAATATTTTGTGCAATGTGTTCAACTTGGTGTTATATGTTAATGTTTACTGAAAGACTGAAATGTCTTTTTCAACTTTCATTTGACAGTTAGGAATAAGATTTAGAATGAAAATCTTTGGTGACAGCATGTTTTAATATCAACAAGAAATATATACAAATTCAATAGAAATAAATAAATTACTTGCCGTAAGACAGCACCAGAAAGTAGACCACAGGATTGTGGATTTACCAGACATACATAATTTTTTTCCTGAATTTTTTTTTTGGCATTTAAACATCCCCATAAAATGTACCATTTTCATGGCAGTGAAAAAAATTATTGTAGGAAATAATTTTAAACTTTAATTTATCAGCACTTCAAAGAAAATAGTTCTTCTATGAGATAGCACAAGATATTGATCTGAATTATTTTTTGCTTTCCCTATCTTAACATGGACTTTTCCATTTCTATTTCTCATTATACTTGTTCGTTTATTTGCAACTCTTTCAAAACAGCTTGACAAAAACAGCCAATATTGTACAGATTCTTCTACAGGACATGAAATTGTGCACCTGCTATTTATTTTTATTTTCCTCTGTAATATTAGAGATTCCATGCTAAAATATGGACCATGCCAAATGACAAATCTGGTTATTAAAATAGCAGATGGGCAAGCCTGTGGTTGTCTGTTCAACCAATGCATGTCAAATTTGAATATGTTGTTCCAAATGACAAATTGGGCAATTTCGATATTGCGGATATACCCTTTTGATGTTTAGGAGTTACGGTCATTGATAGCAAAAAACCCCGTTGGCTGTCAATTTGACAACTCATTTCTTGTTTTTTTTTAAATTTGGAATTAATTGATGTTGTTAAAACTGTTTAATTAAAATTCAGTGATGAACATTGTCAATGTAAGCTTTCAGTTATTAATACACACAATCAAATACTGATATAGACAATCCCTTATGTTTTGACACCAACAACTTCTTGTAATTTTTGCTAAAACATATTGTAATAGGTTCATTCAGTCCATCTTCTTCCTTCAGAACCACTTCACTGGATGTACCATCTGAAGATAATCTATGAATGTTGTTCGAATATCGTCCTACTACATAGATATTTCCAACCCCATCACTTGTAATCCCATTTGGTCCCTTTAAGTTCTTTGAGGTGAAGGTGAAAATAACAGTACCATCCTCTTTGATGCAATATACATTATTTTTGTTAAATTCAGATAGATAAAGCTTTTCATCTCTATAATGTATATAAAATATATCTTCTTCCCCTACATTGTATGATTGTATTTCTTGCAAATTGCTATCAAGAATATATATTTTACCATGTCCACCAACATACATCTTATCATTGGGCCATGAAACGTCGTACCTTGCTCCAAGTGCTACTTTTAATGCAGGGGCTGCTTTAAAATTTTCAATGATTTGTACTTTGTTATTGCTTAGGTTGACAACTAACTTCTGTGTTGTGCTGTTATATGCAAGTCCCCATGGCTTACAAGGAGCTTCAAGCTGTACCTCCTTACTCCTAACTAGGTTCCTGTAAATTTTCAATGAAGACCTTCATATTACGGTTTTCATCTGAGAGAACCACTTTCAGTTCTTGCAAAAGAACAAAAATTTGCTTATTTGAACCATTCGTGGACAGAAACTCTAACTGCTTGTGATACTCATGAACCAATTTATTTATTTGTTCAGCTTTAGAACACTCGCTCTTCAGATTTACTACCAATGTACCTTGCAGGTCAGAGAGTTTCGATAATGCTGACTTTTCCATTTCTTCAAGTTCTTTTATAATAGAAACCTTAGCATTTGAAATTGATTTTACAATGGAAGATCCTTCATCTTCAACCTTTTGAATAATATTTCCTCTATTCTTTATTACATCTTCTGTTGTTAAGAACATTTGATTTAACCCATCTGTTATATCGGAAAAAAGGGCGGATATTTTTGTATCTCTGGAAGCTTCTTTGAGAGTCAAAACTTTATCACAACTACGATGCTCTATAGGTATGCAGCTATGACAGCAGAGAGTCATGGTATGTACAATAGTAGTCCAAAATGAAGTCTGAATGTGTTTCACATTGCTTTTGAGAAGACATTACTTTTATAGGCATTACTACTACTGCCTCCAAGTCTATTAGGTGATGAGCCATCAATATTTTAATGGTTTTGTGTGCCCTAACACAGTCTTGACAAAGTGTTTCTTCACAATCCATGCAATAGTTTATAGATGCTGAACTATTGTCAATCCTTGCACAAGGAGCACAGAACGAGCTCGAAGACATATCTGGAAATATAGATAAACCATGATAATCAAATTATTAACATTGATTGATATATACTGTTGACACTCATCTTCACAGTGCATGTATGTATTAGATACACATTGATGACGTTAGCTCGAATGGGTGTATCTAATTTACACCAAGATATTATTGTCAATGTAAAATAATAGTTTTCAATAATTTAGGAGGGGGTCTTTCAGCGATTTTGATCATATGTTATTGAAAAGCATTATATAAATGCCGGGTGTCCTATTTCATTTAACGACAACTTGGCGTAAATACTAAGTATATAATAAAAAAAAACAATATTTTGTATTTGCTTATCATATAAACCTGTTGTGTTGTATAATAAGAGACATTCAACTATTTAGAACTAAAAGAGATGTGGTATGATGAGGGGCGGAAGGACCCTTTTCGGGATCCGGGAAAGAATACTTTATTTTTTCGGGAATTCGGGATGACACCCCTCCTACCGCCCCTCTATGATTGCCAATGAGACAAATATCCACAAAACACAAACGGACAAGGCTGTGAACAATTCCATAACATCGTACGACATTAAGCTATTAGCAAAACAATTTCCTGAGTTATGCTTAAGGCGGATCATCGGTATATATTTTCTCAGAAAGAATTTTCTTATACTTTACTAAAACGAAGATTTTACTATGCTTTTTCAAAAAAATAATAAAAAGTGTGGGTCACCGTGCTATTGTTCAAGCTACAGGTCGTGCAAAATTGCCCAAATTTGCATAGATTGTTAATGAAAAAACTCATTTTTGTGAATAAAAAGAAATCTGTGATATAGAATTTTGAAATAAAATATGAGAAGATAGGTTTTATAATATGCTTTAAGAAAATAAAAAGAAAAAATGGTGTCACCAAACTTGTTTTCTTGCTACAATTGAAAAAGGAAAATTTCACTATCATTCCAGTATAAATAAGAGTTATCTCCCCTTAAATGGCTAAGATGAAAAATTGTTTCTAAAAAACACAAATAGTTAGTATTTGTTTAAACATTTTTGATAATGCAATTAATCACTTATTTTTCTTCATACAAATAAACAGTCTTACACATAAATTGCAAATCTGTCTCAAAATTTGCAGATTTAGGCAAAGAACTAGACCGATTGTGTACTCCTATTGTACAATCCAAGATGGCGGTTTACAGTGAATCTACCTCAAAACAATAAACGAAAAGCAATTATTGCAAGGTGCAAACGAGGATTACTGGATTTATTTCCTGACTTTGGAAAGGCATATTAGGAATGTGGCGTGGTTAAACTTATTTGTGAGTATTCAGCCATCCCCCTTATCTTGGACAGTCATGTAACAGTACATCAGTAGAACAATTTGTAAAAAATCAGTTGAAAATAAGCTAGACTATGTTCTTATTATTAGAAAATATAATATACCTACATTTTGACATGTGCAGCTAATTTGGAAAATACATTTTAGGTGTGCAATCAAGCTACATGTACTTGCTGTATTTATTTAAGGCTAAACAAAAGATATAACACCATTACTCGATTCCAAGGTAAATTAAAAAGAGGGGAGTCCATAAAAGCTGACAAAATCAAACGTTATCTATCAACCAACGGAACGAGTGAAAACAACTGACAAGTTTCCTTCCTAACTTGGTACATGCATTTACGAAGAAAATAATGGTAAATCTGGTTTTATAGCTAGCTAAACCCCCCATTTGTATGACAGTTGTTTATAGTTCCGTTATATTGACAAAATTGGGTGAGCAACCAAAACAGACATAAAAGGTTAATGTGACAATAATTGGGATCCAGCAGCCAAAACTATGTAAACACACATACAGACATACAACACAACTGACTAAAAAATTCTAACAAACATACAACAAATTCTTACAAATACGCCAACAAAAATTGTTTTTTTCATGTAGTAAAATTTGATATCTTTGTCTTATAATACAATGGGTTGCTCAATGGTACATTTTATAAGTTAAAGGAATATCTTTCAAAACTGTAATTTGATTTTGACATAAAAGGGAAAACCAAGGATTTGCATACTCTCGCTTTACAAATCCTTTGGAAAATCAAGGTGTATTCTCAACACCCAAATTATTATCCATTAAGAACAATTGGAGGAAAATGTAAATATCATTAGGAATATTTACTCTTTAATAATGACAAAAAAGGCAATGGTTAGTAGGGACACAAAATGTGTTTTCCTTTAACGTTTACAAAATTTTACATGGGATATAACTTTATAAACATCAGCTGTGGTATCTGTATCCGTAGAAGTACGCTGTAGTTCCTAAAATATTGGTATGTGAACAGGAAATGAAAAAGAATGTAGCTTTCTGATTTTTTTAAGGGGCGATCTAAAAGCTTCTGAACTGCTAGACGCAACCTGTATTCTTCAAGCTGGTTTCACTCAAAAACAGCTCGAGGGAAAAATGATTGTTTGTAAATTTTTCTGTTTGTGTCAATAGTCTTATAGCCCTTATAGTTGATTGTTAATATATAGTTCTGTAATTTATAAATCGTTTTTTGTTTTTGATTTCAGTGAGGAGGTGTGTCGGATTAATCGTGGTTTTATTGGCAATTTTTTTCATCATTTTGTTACTGCAGTTGTTCTATTTATCTATTTGTTCAGTCTTCATGTTGTAATTAAAGATATTTTAATGTTTTGACCTTAATTCAGTAGCCTTAAGCTTAATTGCTCAGTAAAATTGTATGGGTTGGACCAAGAATACTTTAATTAAAGGAAAATAATCTAAAATAATACAGAAACTTTGTTGAAAAAAAAATCAATTTGCTTGTCTCTGTACTTTTATACTTTACATGTATATTCAGAATGCAGACATGTTAATGAAATTGAACTTAACCTGTTTTGCACTAGACTGTCGCACCGAGTCAGATTTTAAACGTGCTAGCTCGCAGGGTCAGTCCACAATAAGACATTCCAATCTAAACTGCAGTGGTTCTTTTACTGTGGATTGATTATTATTCGTGGTATACAAATTTTAGAGGATTTTGTTGGTTAGAGTTAACTACGAATTTAAATGGCAAAACCACGAAATCAAATGTCCGCGAAAAACAATCTTTTTCAAATCCACGAAAACTGGTACCCATGATATTAAAGGGAAGTAAAATCGACCACACATTGTGTCACGTGTGTATAACAACAAGTTTAAATAAGTGATACATATCTTTGGTAAAAAATTAACACCAAAATGTTCACCTGTAATATGGGAATAATGTATTGGTAGCGTAGTGCTGCATTATCAGCTTTGAATACCTTTGCCGCGATCTTTGCTGTAAATTTGCTGGTCTTTAGAAAGTCCTGGGTCTTCTGTATAAACAAAAAGTCCACGTGACTGTTGGTAATAGTAATGCACTCATTAGATTTTAATTGCACCTACAACTGGTGATATGAATTCTATTTTTAGACATATCTATACTTACAGGACGGAAATCGAGAAAAATGTTAATGAATACTGAAAAATAGACGTCTCACCGATTTCATAGCAGTGATTAATTTGCAAAATCATATTTTAAAAAAACAGTAGTCTTGTGAATTCCTAACCGGCTGTTATGTTTGTTACGTATACATGTTGATTAAAGACCAGCCGACATTTGATTCGATGTCTTTACTAGACATGGTTTATATATTTATTCCTTTTCATCAGTGAGACTTTATTTTTTTGTATATTGAAGTTGAGTATATTTGGTGTTTCCTAATTTTCTCCATTCATGACAAAAGAAACATTCACTTGACAAACTCCAAAGCAGAGGTGCAGCTTGTTTTTCATCTTAAAGTCACAGTGATGCCTTAAACACGGAACAAACACCTCACTGTAAATTGAAGGCAGCTAGAGTACTGGTTTGAGCGAAATTTCTTTGCCGGATAGGTTTTTTGACGCTACATCTGTGAGTTGTTGAAGACCATAGCTTTCGGCTACAAGTTACATCATGAAAATAACACTTTCTCAATTTGGTGTGTCCGAAATATATCGGAAAAACATTTAGACAGTCTTTGGGCACATCAGAATATTGCTTTTCTAGATAACATGACAGAAAATAATGTATGAAATTGGCATATACTATGGAAGAACTGTAAAAACTTTTAATTAAAAGATGACTGAAAAAGAAAAAGTGAATAGTAAACAATGTAATATAAAGAATATATCCCAAGAAGAAATTCGTCATAACTTGGATACACATATAAAGAGATCGTTCAACTCAATCCATGTAGAAACTGTTACCACTATTCCATTATCCTTGTCTAGATCGGGACATCACCGAATGCGATTTATAACCGGAGTTTAAATTTGCCATAAGTAGCACCACGGGTGTTACTGGTGGAAAAGATACTGCTTATCCTGTTTTCTGTGTAATGTTTTGTGGACTGGTGATTGTTTGTTCATTTTTCGATCGATCCAAACATGGTATTGTTTTTTTTTTCTTTAACTACTGATTTGTTACTGCTCACTTGGTAGCCCACACCTCACCGTGTCGTTTCCACTCCATGATTTTCACTCTTTGAATGTTTAATACGAATGTTGAATGTTGAAAAACGATGTTGAATGTTGAAAATAAATGATGAATGTTGAAATCGAATGTTGAAAAAAAAAAAATGAAAACACATTTTGAATGTTGAATGTTGAAAGCAAATGTTGAATGTTGAAAAACGAATTTTGAAAGTTGAAAACGAATGTTGAAAAAAAAATATTGAAAACAAATGAACAAAATTTGAATGTTGAATGCTTAAAAACGAATGTTGAATGTTTAAAAAAAATGTTTAAGAATAAAAGATTTTGCATGTTGAATGTTGAATATTGAACCAACTTGACATCCGTTTAAAGTTGATATACCTACAAATTTCGTTAAGGAATAACGATAATTTTGAAACATATTAGAAATGTGCTGTGTTCTCAGATATGAGAAAAATGTTTCCATGATTTTTGTTTCGCCTGCGACGAAAGTCGTGGAAAACGAAACATAGGTGTTGCTTTTCCGACGGCGGATACGTGGAGGATGCGTCAACAATTGTTAAGCTTTCTGCTTAAGTTAGTTTGATAGGAACAACTTGTGATATATCATTGATATTTTCTATAAGGTTGCATTACCATCAGTTTGACGACTATTTTGAGGCCCTGTCCCCTAGGTCATGGTCGAGTGACTGAATTATTTAGCAATTTTTAGTTTCTGCTAAAGTTAGCTTGATAGGAGCTACTTGTGATAGATATTTTGTATACAGTTGCATTACTACCAGTCCATATCAGTTTGACGACTATTTCGATTTGACGACTATTTCGAGGCCCTGCCTCCGAGGTCAAGGTCCATCGACTTTCAATTAATAAGAAATTTTCAATGTTAAGTTTTCTGATTAAGTCAGTTTAATAGGAACGATTTGTGATAGATCAATGATATATTATATAAAGTTACATTACTATCAGTACATATTAGTTTGACGACTATTTCGAGGCCCTGTCTCTTATAGTCATAGTCTAGCGACTTTCAATTGATTAGCAATGTAGCTGTCCATCAGATTGTGTTTTTTCGAATTTTCTGCCGACAGGCGAGACATATCTCTGTGTCAACAGCTTATTTATATTACAGATACATGTTAGGCCAACTAACTGGTATTTAACGTCACGATCATGTCCTGTTTGTTTTAACTCTTAGACAACAGTGCAATGTCTCACTTGAACTGACAGCCTGGTAAGATGTTTTTCATTTAATGACACAATTAGACTTCAAATACCAAATTTATAGATATGTAAATACTTATTAGCAGTTGCATTGTGAAAAGAACTCAAACGTGCTTAAATTGTGGATTATTTTCTTTTGTTTACTACTTTGGCTTTGTTCACAGAGTACACAACATACAATAAGTTTAAAAGATGTAATTAGCTGTTGAAATATACTAATGCATGCGATCACTAAAATATACCGAGTTTAAGTTGATACACCTAGAAATTGCATTAAGAAATAATTTTGCAGCATATTAGAAACTTGCTGTGTTCACAGATATTAATAAACTTTTTTCATATTTGTTTATATTCATATCACAAAATAATGAAAGATATATAAATTGATTAAAATAAAGGTTTGTAAGCTATTTATAAGTGTTTTTTTTTAACTCAAAATATGGAATTATTTGCCGTTATGAAAACTATTTAATTAAAATTCAATGATGAACATTGTAAAATTAAGCTTTCAATAGTTAATATACGCAATCAAATACTGATATTGACATTCCCTTGTTATTGGACACCAACAACGTCTTGTAATATTTGCTAAAACAAATTGCAATAGGTTCATTCAGTCCATCTTCCTCCTTCAACACCACTTCACTGGATGTTCCATATGATGATAATCGCAGAATGTTGTTTGAAGATCTTTCTACCACATAAATTTTTCCACTCCCATCACTTGTGATACCATCGGGTCCATCTAAATCCTCAGAGGTGAAGGTGAAAATATTGGTACCATCTTCTTTCATGCAGTATACATTATTTTTGAAATACTCAGATAAATAAAGTTTATCATTTGTAAAATGTATAAAAATATTTGACTTGTGCCTACATCGTATAAATGTATTTCTTGCATACTGTTGTTTCAAACATATATTTTACCATCTCCCCCAACATACATTTTATCTATAACCCATGACACGTCACTATTTGCTCCTCCTGATAGATCTACTGCAGGAGCTGCTATTAAATTGTCGATTAATTGTAATTTGCAGTTGCTGAGGTTCACTGCTATGGTCTGGGTGTTGCTGTCATATGCAAGACCCCATGGAGTACATTCCTGACATTGATCATCCAGTTGTACCTCCTTCATAAACATAAAACTGAATGGATTCGTTTGAACAAACTGCAATCTTGTTTTGGTCAATGAAGACTATTCCAGAGATGCCGCTGTCTTTGTACTTCTACGTCAGCGATAACTTGTATTTCATGGTGAAGATGATGCTTTATTCCCTTGTACTCAACAGAACGAGGTTCTGATGATATTTCTGTTGACCAAACATCTTGATCCGAGGCAAAAATCGGTGTTTCTTTATATGACAAACTAGGTTCCTGTAATTTTGCAATGAAGTTCTTTATATTTTTGTTTTCATCAACGAGAACCACTTTTAGTGCTTGCAGAAGAACAAAGATTTGATTTTCTAAACCATTCTTTAACAGAAAGTCCATCTGTTGGTTGTACTCATGGACCAATTTAGAAAATTGTTCAGCTTCTTCACAATCGCTCTTTATCTTTAATACAACTGACCTCTGTATGTCAGATAGTTTACATAAAGCTGACTTCTGCATTTCTTTAAGCTTGTTTATAATGGACATCTTAGCTTTTGAAATTGACTCAACAATGGGAGTGGGAAATCTAGTGACAAAATATTACCTCCCCTGTAAACACTGAAAACTAGATCTTCTCAATGTTTTTCCCATTTTAGCAAGGACGCTATCAATTATGGATTCACGGAAAAACGTTCTGGTAAATAGTAAAAATAGAAATAAGTTGAAATAAAAACAAAACTTCCATTTAATGTTATCATTTCCCTCCTTAAGTAGCAAACGACTAGTACAGCAGGCTATAAAAGCTTGATGTAAAAATAGTTTAACATGTTGATGTGCGAAAAAAAATCCTGGAATGTGGCAGGGTTAAAGTTTGATTTTAACAAAAAATTAATTCTTAGAGTTCTTTGATGTGCTGAATCTAACCGTGTATTAAGTTTTAGGATTTTGGGCCCCGTTATTAAACTGGTCCACATTGAGGTCCAAAAGGTCCAAAATTGCTTCAACTTTTTCAAATTTTTAAGTTCTCAGACAACATTTATTCTGTGTCAGAAACCTTTGCTGTATCAAATATTTAATCAGAATCCAAATTCAGAGCTGCATCAAACTTGAATGTTGTGTCCATACTTGCCCCTACTGTTCCGGGTTTGACCTCTGCGGTCGAATGAAGCTGCGCCATGTGGAGCATTTTATTTGTATATAATTATAAATCTTGACCTGTAGTGTTATACTGAAAATTCGGCTATATAAATTAGCAAACCACTAATTCGGGCCTTGTTAAAAACAACATAAAAGAAAGTAGTACATATTTCAAACAAAATAGTTTCGAAGCATAGCTGTAACTTTGTCAATAAGTAAAGAAATTGATAATTTTCGTATCAAATGAAATATTAAGGACTTGGGATCACTGTATAAACGTTGTTAAAAGTTTCTGTTGCTCAGATCAGAAGTACATGTTTTTATACTACCAAACTTCCGGGAACCAGTGCGCTCTAATATGCAAGCAAAGGTATGTTGAATTTTTCAGCACAAGTCATGATAATGTAGAG